TATTGTTTCCGCCCGGACATATATGTTGACGGTACCTCCGGGGTACCTACTGTGTGTGTTCCCCTTTCACTTTCTCTTCTCTTCTGCGGCTTCGACCCGATAGCATGTCAGTTTCTGCTCCCCAATAAAGAGAGATTTGCACCTCCGATACACCGCCTCCGTCTCCCTTCTCTCGGCACTACAGAATCATGTTTTACTCGTTTTAAACCATCAAAATACTTTTCTCATATTTAAAACATTTAGTTCTCTTTGTGTTTCTCACTGACACATACAATGAAATGTACAAAAACTTAGCAATTACAATGACGGGCGTTAACGTGAAGTCAGATTAGTGAGAGGTGTTTCATCAAGAGATAAATCTGCTTAAAAATATCTTAATCTAATCAGAATATTGATCACATGTGTCATTTAAAAGGTCTTGAACACCACGACACAAGCTGCTGTTCCAATAGAACCTATTATCACATTGTGCTTAAATATAAACTGAATCCACTGACAAAATGAGAGGACCTAAGATTGAACCCTGTGGTACACCACATCAAATCACAGACTGACAGAAAAATAGAGACACTTATTTTAAGTTCATTAAGACTACTTAATTGTATTTTAACCTGTGATGAAAGGCCAGATTCACTAACTGAGTTAATTATTTGAACCTGTGGATGTGAATCAAAGGCAGTCCATGTGTTTGTATAGTGTGCAGCTGCTCCTCACCTGTGGAATTCCCTCCCAGACCACCTGAGGACTCCACAGACCACTGACGCCTTCAGGAAAGGCCTAAAACCTTTCTTTTAAAAAAAGCTTTTGATTAAACTTTTGTTTCTTTTGTTTGTTTTTATTATGCCTCCTGTAGCACCTTGGGATTGCTGTTAGCAATGAAAGGTGCTTTACAAATCGAATTTATTATTATTATTAGTAGGGAACAATTGTTCATATATTTCAAATCATCAAGCAGGTAAATGACATTACTGTATCATCACAAACTATTGATGTTTATCAGAGAGAGACTCCCTCTGGTGGATGCTGTGCAGTATTGTGTTGTCTTTGCTCCAAAGGTTTTTGTTCAGAGTGTTGGTGTTTCCTGTCACTGTGGGCTTCACAGCACAGTAGTACACAGCAGAGTCTGTCACTGCAGCAGAGGAGATGCTCAGATAGATCTGGGTTTTATCCTCATCCGATTTAACGGAGAGTCGAGAGTTTGATGCAGGTGTTGTTCCCAAGTGAAGGATGAGGAACTCTGGTGGTTTTCCTGGATATTGTCGATACCAGTAGAAATAATCATTAGCTGCTATAGTTTTGGAGTATCTGTAGGACAGAGTAACAGAGCTGCCTTCTGGACTGAACTCTTCTGGCTTTGATGGAGTGAGATCTTCACAGCTGACTGGAGAGAGGAGTAATTCAAAGTATTCATTTAATAAATCGCATTAAATTAATCAGTAATTCAACTTTTTCGCGCAGAATGTTACATACCTCTTAGAAAGGACACTAAAAATAAAAAAATGAAACAATTATCTAATGACAGCATGTTGAATGAAGGTGATGATGATGATGGTCTGTGTTGAACTCTGGTGAATATGGAAGTTCCTCTCTCTTCTATAGTTCAGGAACATCTTAGCTCCTCCCTGAATCTCTCTGTCTCCTCTTAGATCTGTATTTCACTTCTCTCAGTTACCCTTCCTCCTGGGTAACAGATCCAAAGGCAGTCTGTAAATAAAATAAAAAGTCAGAGGACCTAGGAATGAACCCTGTGGTACACCACGATTAATCACAGACCAACAGAGAATTGTATTTTATAAAGATAAGAACAAAAGCAATCAAAACTTAAGTCTGTGATGTGTACCAGTTTATTGATAGAGGTGATTTCAAGTGTTTGATCAGTCAGTAAAAAAAACGTAGCTATAACAATGACGGGCGTTAACGTGAAGTCAGATTAGTGAGAGGTGTTTCATCGAGAGAGAAATGTGTTTTAAATCATCTTAATCTAATAAGAATTGTACTTCATACCCAACATTTAAAGCGTCTTGAACACCACAACACAAGCTGCTGTTCCATTAGAACCTATAATCACATTGTGCTCAGAGATAAACTTAATCCAATGAGAAAGTGAGAGGACCTAGGATTGATCCCTGTGGTACACCACATGAAATCACAGACTGACAGAAAAACTGAAACACTTATTTAAAGTTAATTAAGACCATCAACTGTAGTTAGTCTCATCAGCCACAACGATGAGACTACCTACAGGAAGGAAGTGAACCAGCTGGCCCTGTGGTACCAAATAACAACCTCTTCCTCAACCTGGAGAAAACAAAGGAGATAGTTGTTGACTTCAGGAGAACCCACTACCAACCCCCTCTCCCCCTGACCATCAACGGCGCTGCTGTGGAGCAGGTGACCAGCACCAAATTCCTTGGTGTGACCATCACTGATGACCTCACCTGGGAAAACAACACCACCGCACTAGCGAGGAAAGCCCAGCAGCGCCTGTACTTCATCCGGAAGCTCAAGCGAGCCGGAGCATCACCCCCCATCATGCTGTCTTTTTACCGAGGCGCCACCGAGAGCATCCTCAGCAGCTGTATCACGCTGTGGTTTGGAAGCTGCACCGCCTCCAACCACAAGAGCCTGCAGTGCATTGTGAACTCTGCCCAGAGGATCATCGGTGCCTCACTCCCCTCACTACAGGTCATATACAACACCCGCCTCACCCCGCAAAGCACTCAGCATTGCGGGTGACTCCACCCACCCCTCCAACAGCCTCTTCAGCCTCCTGCCTTCAGGAAGAAGGTTCCTCAGCCTCAGCTCGCGCACCTCCAGGCTGGGGAACAGCTTCCTCCACCAGGCGGTCAGGATGCTGAACTCTCTCCCCTCCCTCCCTCCCTCCCTCTCTCTCCCTCTCCCCCTCTCTGACATCTCTCCCCTGACCTCTCCACCCTGCCCCAAATGGTCCTGGACTTTAACCCCCCCCCCCCACACACACACACACAACCTTCCCTCATCCAGCACCAGTCACTTTTCTACCCATCTCCGCTGCTACTGCACTGAAACTGTACTTTGAAAATGTTTCTATTTTGCACAAAAAATACTTGCATTAATGTCAATTTATGTTCTGTGGACTGTGTTTTTAAATATATTATTAACCAGCACTTATTAAAACTATTGCTTAGTTGTATACCCCATTTATCTCTGCCCTTTTTTTGTTTTATGTATATATGTCACACTGTGGGACTGCGGGAAACGGTATCTCGAGATTTCTGTATGTATAACACATGTAGAAATGTTGACAATAAAGCTGACTTTGACTTTTGACTTTGACTTTGACTTACTTTTATTTTAACCTGTGATGAAAGGCCAGATTCCCTGACTGAGTTCAACATTTGAACTTGTGGATGTGAATCAAAGGCAGTACATGTGTTTGTATAATAGGGAACAATTGTTCATACATTTCAAATTATCAAGCATGTCAGTGACATTACTGTATCATCACATCCTGCTGAAGGTGAACAGATCACAAACTATTGATGTTTAACAGAGAGAGACTCCCTCTGGTGGATGCTGTGCAGGATTGTGTTGTCTTTGCTCCAAAGGTTTTTGTACAGAGTTGTGGTGTTTCCTGTCACTGTGGGCTGCAGAGCACAGTAGTACACAGCAGAGTCTGTCACTGCAGCAGGGGAGATCTGCAGATCCACTTGATTTCTCTCCAAGTTCAGTGTGGCATTCAGTCGAGGGATTGGAGGTTTTGCTTCCACCACGTAAGGCTGTGTTATGTCAGTGATCAGGAGGAGGAACTGAGGAGCTGATCCAGGATCCTGTCTGTACCACTGGAGGTTATCAGCTTTAACTGAATATGTACAGGACAGAGTAACACTACGGCCCTCTGAGGAACACACTTCAGCACTGATGGCAGTAATATCATCTTCCAAGCTGTTACCTAGTGAGGAAAACATCATGCTATCATTACAGCTCCAAAGTCACAAACCCATCAATTCCTTAGTGAAAAAACAACACTCCTGTAAAGCGTTTATCCAAAATCCAAAGTGGATGTGTAATGCTTTGAAAAAGTCTTCATATTTCCCCTTCTCCTGTCAGAAACATACGTACCTATGAGAGCTGAACAGAGCAGAATTGCAGCCAGTTTCTCCATGTTCACAGAGGGGAAAGCTGTGGTTGTTCAGTATGGAAACGTTTAGTGAGTTGTGTTTGGTCTGATGTTCACAGCTGGAATCAGAGAGGTGTCAGTCATGAAGCTCTGCAGTCAGCAGGAGGAGACTCAGATGTCCAATGAGTTTCTGGAGCTCTTCATCACAGCTGTGAGTCTGAGAGAATCTAATCTAGACTGTCTCATCACATCCTGCTGAAGGTGAACAGAGAGAGACTCCCTCTGGTGGATGCTGTGCAGTACTGTGTTGTCTTTGCTCCAAAGGTTTTTGTACAGAGTGTTGGTGTTTCCTGTCACTGTGGGCTTCACAGCACAGTAGTACACAGCAGAGTCTGTCACTGCAGCAGAGGAGATGCTCAGATAGATCTGGGTTTTATCCTCACTCACTTCAGCAGACAGTCCAGGGATCAGATTATTCATAATGTTTCCAGTTCCTAAATGAGAGAAGATGAACTCTGGTGGTTTTCCTGGATATTGTCGATACCAGTAAAACTCATCACCACCAGCTGCTTGTTTGGAGTATCTGTAGGACAGAGTAACAGAGCTGCCTTCTGGTCTGAACTCTTCTTTCTGTAATGCAGTGAGATCTTCACAGCTGACCCCTGAAGAGAGGAGTAATTCAAAAGACTCAGTTAATAGATCACATTTTATCAACATAAGAATTTAACGTTTTCATGCAGAATGTTACGTACCTCTTAGAATGGAAACTAACAGTAGGGAATGTAAACAATAGTCTAATGACAGCATGTTGAATGAAGGTGATGATGATGGTCTGTGTTGAACTCTGGTGAATATGGAAGTTCCTCTCTCTTCTATAGTTCAGGAACATCTTAGCTCCTCCCTGAATCTCTCTGTCTCCTCTTAGATCTGTATTTCACTTCTCTCAGTTACACTTCCTCCTGGGTAACAGATCCAAAGGCAGTCTGTAAATAAAAAGTCAGAGGACCTAGGATTGAACCCTGTGGTACACCACGAGTAATCACAGACCACCAGAGTAACTTATTTTATAAAGATAAGAACAAAAGCTTGAGAGAGAAATCTGTTTAAAATGATCTTAATCTATTGCAAATATTTCTTCAGATCCAACATTTAAAAGGTCTTGAACACCACAACACAAGCTGCTGTTCCAATAGAACCTTTCATCAAATTGGGCTTGGAGATAAACTGAATCCAATGACAAAGTGAGAGGACCTAGGATTGAACCCTGTGGTACACCACATGAAATCACAGACTGACAGAAAATTAGAGACACTTATTTTAAATTCATGGAGACTACATTTTATGTTTAATCTGTGATAACAGGTCAGATTAACTGATTGAGTTAAACATGTTAACCTGTTGATGTGAATCAAAGGCAGTACATGTGTTTGTATGGTAGTGCACAATTGTTCATACATTTATATACCTGACATAAACCTTTAGAAATGATCAAGCAACTAAATGATTGTATCCTCACAAACTATTGATGTTTAACAGAGAGAGACTCCCTCTGGTGGATGTTGTGCAGTATTGTGTTGTCTTTGCTCCAAAGGTTTTTGTACAGAGTGTTGGTGTTTCCTGTCACTGTGGGCCTCAGAGCACAGTAGTACACAGCAGAGTCTGTCTCTTTAGCTGAGATGATCTCCAGATCAACTCGTTTCTCTGTGTTGTCAATGTGAGCAGAGAAATCAGATTCAGTGGGATGGATCCCTCCTGCCTCTGTGATGGAGAGCAGGAACTCTGGTCTGGATCTCTGGTATTGTCGGTACCACTGGATACTGTAGATAGTCCCCTCATATTTACATGTCAGGCTGATGTTTCTGCCCTCTGCAACATGTTCTTCACTTCTTTCTGGCTTTATGCTGTTCATGGAGCCCAGGGCTGCAAAATGAGAATTATTCATGTCAGTTAGTCTGCAGGAGATTTTAACATTAAGAGACTCAACGGAGGGTCTTCAATTTCCTGTCATCTTTGATCAGTTTGAGATCAAACATGACCAAATGTCTTCATAGATCACAACGGTTGCTGCCTTACACAATAAAACCTCCAGTTATGAAATCTCTGGCTAATACAGCGGGTTAAATGAGACTTTATCTCTGTTCCAACACTCACCTATGAAGAGAGAGAAGAGTAACCAGAGGTAAAGCAACATGTCTTTGGAGATGGTAAAGTCGAACAGTCAGCAGATGAGTTCTCCTCCTGCAGAAGTGAAGCAGGAAACAGCCTCTCTGCTGCTCAGTCCTTCTCCTCAACATCAGATGATTGTGCTTTTAGTTCCTCAAACATCTCACAAATCATCTCATTGGTTGATATAAACGTCAGTGGGCGGGGCCAGAGAATCATGTTTTACTCGTTTTAAACCATCAAAATACTTTTCTCATATTTAAAACATTTAGTTCTCTTTGTGTTTCTCACTGACTCATACATTGAAATGTACAAAAACGTAGCAATAACAATGACAGGCGTTAAGGTGAAGTCAGATTAGTGAGAGGTGTTTCATCGAGAGAGAAATCTGTTTAAAATGATCTTAATCTAATGAGAATATTGATTCACAGGTGTCATTTAAAAGGTCTTGAACACCACGACACAAGCTGCTGTTCCAATAGAACCTATTATCACATTGTGCTTAGAGATAAACTGAATCCAATGACAAAATGAGAGGACCTTAGATTGAACCCTGTGGTACACCATATGATCACAGACTGACAAAAAAATAGAGACACTTATTTTAATTACGAATTAAGCACTTACATACTAACAAAGCACTTATATACTAATAAAGGACTGGCTTATCTAAAGCCAGTTGAGTAGCACATGAAATATTTTGGCTCTATGAAACCTGAGGCCTGCACTACGAAGCCGGATTATCGCTTAGCCGGCTGACTTCAGGGAAAACTCTGGTTTTCCGGTCCTACGACACTGGTTCTCTTTTTAGTGGGCTAGATCTCCATGGTAACTTATGCTGAGCGGCTAACCTCCTCGGGAGGAGGTTAGGTTGCAGGCTAAGAGATCAAATCAGTAGCACCGCCTGCTGACCAATCAGAGCTCCGTGTGCGGAGTTTAAAGCGATCAAGTCATATTACAGGATAGAGGAAATACAGAAAAACTGCCGTTGCAGGAAAGACGGCCGGCAAAAATCACAGACTGTGTGAACGTGAAAATTAATAGAATATCACCTCCCATCTTCAGAGCAATCTGACTATTATAACATTAGCGTTAAGAAAGCTTACTTAAATATCTGCCACAACATAAGTAACCGGATCAGAGTAACATTAAGTACAGTCCGCGGCACTGTGAGTGCAGACGTCGATGTGTCCCATTATCATTCATATCATATCACATCATAATGTATCATATATTTCCTTATCTGAGTCAGCTGAGCCGTATCTGGCCGTGCAACACTCACAGTGTCACATACTGTATGCAGAAGTATTATTTTAAGCAACACATTAAGTTGACGAAACACTCGAGTCAAATGTAATTAAAGTCAGATCGTGTCTTGGACGGGGCAGTGATATCATAAACCTGTTAATGTACGCATTCAAACACTTTTTCTGTTACCAGCTGTATTCACCTTGCAGGTGCAGCTATGTGGCTTTGATCCTGGATAAAGTGTTTAAGTCATGGATGTTTAAAGTTTAACTTCTTCATATTTGACTAATATTAAAGTTCACTTTTCATTCAGGAAGTATGACGCTGCGCTGTCAGTACGCTTGTCCATGTTTGTGATTGGTCGAATGCTCCAGATACCACCCCTTTCATGTGAACGCGCACCTAACTAGATAGGACACGGCTGGCTTGAGCGATCCACTTGATAACCAGCGTCGTAGTACAGTTTAGCGAGAGTGCGTATGTTTTGGATTGGGCCAACCGGCTAACTCAAACATATCCAGGTTAGGAAAATCCGGCTTCGTAGTACAGGCCTCTGATGTACTTATATGATTCTGTTTTCTTCAAGTTTGTATCTTCTTGGTCGAATGCACTTATTGTAAGTCGCTTTGGATAAAAGCGTCAGCTAAATGCAATCTAATGTAATGTAATGTTAAGTTCATTAGGACTACTTAATTGTATTTTAACCTGTGATGAAAGGCCAGATTCACTAACTGAGTTAATTATTTGAACCTGTGGATGTGAATCAAAGGCAGTCCATGTGTTTGTATAGTGTGCAGCTGCTCCTCACCTGTGGAATTCCCTCCCAGACCACCTGAGGACTCCACAGACCACTGACGCCTTCAGAAAAGGCCTAAAAACCTTTCTTTTTAAAAAAGCTTTTGATTAAACTTTTGTTTATTTTGTTTGTTTTTATTATGCCTCCTGTAGCACCTTGGGATTGCTGTTAGCAATGAAAGGTGCTTTACAAATCAAATGTATTATTATTATTATTATTATTATTAGTAGGGAACAATTGTTCATACATTTCAAATCATCAAGCAGGTAAATGACATTACTGTATCCTCACAAACTATTGATGTTTAACAGAGAGAGGCTCCCTCTGGTGGATGTAGTGCAGTACTGTGTTGTCTTTGCTCCAAAGGTTTTTGTACAGAGTTGTGGTGTTTCCTGTCACTGTGGGCTTCACAGCACAGTAGTACACAGCAGAGTCTGTCACTGCAGCAGAGGAGATGCTCAGATAGATCTGGGTTTTATCCTCACTCACTTCAGCAGACAGTCCAGAAACTGGATTCAACATAATGTTTCCAGTTCCTAAATGATAGATGATGAACTCTGGTGGTTTTCCTGGATATTGTCGATACCAGAAGAAACCATCACCAGCAGTTGCTTCTTTGGAGTATCTGTAGGACAGAGTAACAGAGCTGCCTTCTGGACTGAACTCTTCTTTCTGTAATGCAGTGAGATCTTCACAGCTGACCCCTGAAGAGAGGAGTAATTCAAAAGACTCAGTCAATAGATCACATTTGATCAACATTAGAAGTTAACGTTTTCAAGCAGAATGTTACGTACCACTTAGAATGGAAACTAACAGTAGGGAATGTAAATAATAGTCTAATGACAGCATGTTGAATGAAGGTGATGATGATGATGGTCTGTGTTGAACTCTGGTGAATATGGAAGTTCCTCTCTCTTCTATAGTTCAGGAACATCTTAGCTCCTCCCTGAATCTCTCTGTCTCCTCTTAGATCTGTATTTCACTTCTCTCAGTTACACTTCCTCCTGGGTAACAGATCCAAAGGCAGTCTGTAAATAAAAAGTCAGAGGACCTAGGATTGAACCCTGTGGTACACCACGATTAATCACAGACCAAAAGATAATTGTAATGTATAAAGATAAGAACAAAAGCAATCAAATCTTGAGTGTGTGATGTGTACCAGTTTATTGAGAGAGGTGATTTAAAGTGTTTGATCAGTCAGTAAAGAAGGAAAACGTGGCGATAACAATGACGGGCGTTAACGTGAAGTCAGATTAGTGAGAGGTGTTTCATCTAGAGAGAAATCTGTTGAAAATGATCTTAATCTAATAAGAATTGTACTTCATACCCAACATTGAAAAGGTCTTGAACACCACAACACAAGCTGCTGTTCCAATAGAACCTACGATCACATTGGGTTTTGAGATAAACTGAAACCAATGACAAAGTGAGAGGACCTTGGATTGAACCCTGTGGTACACCACATCAAATCACAGACTGACAGAAAATTAGAGACACTTATTTTTAGTTCATGGAGACTACTTGAATCAAGGCAGTACATGTGTTTCTATGGTAAAATTGTTCACAGATTTCAAATGATCAAGCAGGTAAACAACATTACTGTATCATCACTAACTGTTGATGTTTATCAACAGTTGAACTGTAATGTAGCATATTATTTTCCATGGCATTATTGTATGATCATATGTCAGATGAACAGATGCCACTGGGCTTACAACTAAAGACACAGCCACGCAAAAACTGCGGCATGTGTACGCTAGGGATGCCAGAAAGTGACCATGATCAAATTCGAAAATCGGACAGCCCTGGCGAATATTAATCGATTATTATAAAAAAAAGTATTTTCGCAGAGCTTGCATTTTACTTCATTTGCACTTGTCAGTTCGAAGTAGTTCCACGAGGAACTCTTCTTTGAACGTGCCGCTTTGTTCATCTTTAGTTGTGTTGTTCTCACTGTTCTGTATATCGCCAATAAATCAATCGCACGTGTGACGGAGAGGGGGGGGGGGGCGGGGTCGGTGTGTAACAGTCTGCACTCTGCGCAGCCTGCACTGCTGGCTTCCTCCAAGTTTACAGTAAAACAAACTGGTGGTGTGACCAATGGCCATTTACAATTATTAATACTATTACTATTATTAGCATTAGTCTATATTTTGGTTGAAACTAAGCGAGGAAAAAAAAGAAAAACATAAATAATAATAAAAAAATATATAAATAAAATCGAATTTTAAAAATAATTTTCGATTATGGAGACTGTAACGAATATTCGAAAAATCGAATAATCGCTGGCATCCCTAGTGTACGCAGGGGCGCCGTAAGGGGATGAAAAGTTAGGATGATTCTGAGGGCCCGTGACTGACAGGGGCCCAAACAATTTGAGAACATTAAGAAAAAAATGTTTAAGCAACCAATGTGATTATCTTTTCATGGGGCTCCTTATGGGTACTGCAATTTTTGAAGTGCCGGAGCCGCGTTCCGGCAGCACTATACCCCGTAATGACATGTTACACTTGTGTTGTGTTCAAGGAACCTGTCCATGGCCAGGAAAAACAGGCAGTCGCTTGTTTAATTCTGTTGCGATCTAGATTTCTTAAATGTTTTGTTTCCTTCTGCGCTGCGTTGCGTGCATGTCTTCCTTCTGCAGGTAACGGGGAGACGCGCTCTGGCGGCGGTCTCGTTCAGGATCCGAAAATACAATTTAAATATTTTGCACACTTATTCTACTTATTCCTAGTGTGCCACTGGTTACGGTACCGCGTGCCACGTGCCTACGGTTACCGACCCCTGCCCTAGCTTGCTCTTCAAGAGTGGTTTGAAGACTGCAGATGTCAGGGCAAGTGGGAATAAATATGAAAAATAAGAAGTGTTGGTGAAGGTCCATCAGGAGTCTGGCACCTGGTGGACTGCACTCATAAAAAGTTATTAGGATAAATGTTTCAGATAAATTAAAGTAGAGTGGTGTTGAAGCATCAAATAAAGGATGGCTCTCTGCTGGGGGTTGAATTGTTTGAGAGTTTCTTGTGTTGTTTCCCTAAAGTCTAACAGAGAGAGACTCCCTCTGGTGGATGTT